GGGCACACACACCGCACAGCCATGGGCGCCAGGTGGGGCCCGGCACACTCACTTGGGGGAGGACGCAGCCCCCCGTGCCCCTCACTGAGGGGTTGCTCCTGGCCTCAGAGAGCTGGATGAACCGGGCCAGGAGGCTCCACTCAGAAATTCACAACCCCACAGCCCTTCCACTTTATTTGCACAAATCCTCCCCACCCCAGGATGCCTGTATCTAGTGGAGCCCTCCACCCCATAGGAGACAGCCTCCTCACACACTCCAAAACAGGTGTCCAACCCCTCCAAAACACCTCTGCAGGCCCCCCAACCCCACAGTACCCCCAGGCCAGCACTGCCACAGAGGAACCCCCACTTTATTTGCATGTGGTGGTCCAATATTTACAACCCGGGGGGGCCACCAACCCCCTGCTGCAGAATGAGACCCCCCAGAGGACTCCCCACGCTACAGGAGCATAGGAAGATCCCATGTATGAGCAGGGCTTTGCCTGGCCCCCACAGCCTGCCGTGATCCCACCAGGACCCTGCTCGGCATCAAGAGAAGGGGCTCACTGGGCAGAGCTGGATTCCCCAGTCTTGGGGGTCCCTTCACCCACTTCTCTACAGAATTCATGGGAAATCCTTTTCCAATAGTCAAAAGGTGCCCCGTTGCCCCCACAGTTGCCGTCGGTGGGCCATGATGGTCCATGGGTTGCCACACGCAGGATCCAGGTTGCTGCCAGGGGCAGGATCAGGGGTGGTTCAGGGTCAGTACCAGGGTCTCCACGGTCAGAAAAAGGGTGTCTGGTTGGTACTGGGACCCTGGGGTCAGTACTGGGGTCTCTCATTCATACTGGGGTCTTCAGAATCAGTCACAGGATCTCTAGTCAGTCCCAGGTCCCCATGTGGTCACTTTCCCACAAGAACGTAGAAGGCCATGAGAAGACAGGACACAGATACAGCCACGTGCAGGCGTGTCCCAATCACAGCAGCTGTGCGTGGGACAGGGTGGGGTGAGGCCCCATGTCCCCATTCCAGATCCATCCTGAACTCCGGTGCACCCCTCCCAGGCCTTATGTTCCCATCCCAAACCCCACTACTCCCATTCCAAATCCCTGTGTCCCCATCCCAGACCCCAAAATTCCCATCCCAGGATCCAGTGTTCCCATCCTGGACCCAATGCCCCTGTCCCAGACCCGACCACAGTGATTCCAGTATCTCCATCCTATACCCCAGTGTTCCAAGTGTCCCCATCCCAGTGTTCCCAGCACCACCGTGCCATATCCCAGCGTCCCCAGTGTCCCTCACCCTTGTGGCAGACTCCCCAGACCCCCCTGCGCTCGGACAGGAGCCAGGTGCGCAGTCGGGGCACCTTCCGCAGGTACGCACAAGTGCAAACCAGTAGCAGCCCGAACACCAGGAGCCCGTCCAGGGAGTAAACTGCGGGGAGGTCGGTCAGGGAGGGGTCAGGGGACACTCCGGGCCTCTGCCTAACTCCCCTCCAAGGGGACCCCCACATCCATGTGAACAACCTCCCATCTCTGCCCCTATGAGGGGATGCTGACTTCCCACGATCCCCCTGAAAAGGGACACAGACTTCCCGGTATCCCCACCGAAGGCACCCAAAACTTCCAGTACCCCGCCCCCAAAGGAACGCAGTCTCCCATTCGCCTCCCAAAAGCTCCTCCCAGCCAGCCCCANCAGGCCCCCCGTTCCCACCGTTGGTCATGGTGGCCCCGGACCCGCCCCGGGCCCCTGCGGCGCCAACGCGACAGCGGAAGAGGGCGGCAAGCACGGCCAGCCGAGCACCGACGCGGATCTTGAGGAGCAGGCGGCCCCAATCGAGCGCCTATTGGGGAGGTGTGTATGGCGCACTAGTGCCCGCCCAGCAGCGCCAGTAACCCGAGCCCTGCCAACGCCGGGGACACCAGGAGCTGACTGTGCGCTCAGCCGTGTGTGACCAGTCGCCAACTCAGTCCCCCAGTAACCCCTCAGTTTTACAAACGAGGAGTGCACCCAGTCCCCATTCCAGTCCTCCCAATAATCCACCACTATTCCCAGGAATCCTCGGTCCTCCCAGTGTCCCAGTACCACCCAAGTGCAACCAGTCCTCAGAGAGTTCCAGTCCTCCCAGTTACCCACAGTGCAATCTGACCCCCAGGTCCTCCTGTAACTCCCAGTCTCCTAAAGCCCCCTCTCCAAGCACCCAATCCCCATCCCAGCCCTTCCAGTGACTGCCAGCTCTCCCCAGTAACCCCAGGTCTCCCGATAAACCCCAGTTCCCAGTGGCATCATGTGCCACCCAGTCCCCATCCCAGTATCCCCCATAAGCCTCCAACAGACACCCAATGCACCCAGTAACTCCCTTTACCTCCCATCACACCCAGTGCATCCAGTCCTCAGCCCAGGAACCCTCAGCTCCCACAGTAACCCACATAATCCAGTGTTCCCAGTGCTCACAGCAATCCCCAAGGTTCTCAGTGCTCACCACGGGTCCCTGTGTTTCCAGTGTTGCCAGCAGACCCCAGTGCCACAAATTGTCCCGGTCTTCCCAGCCACTCCAGCACCCCAAGTGTTCCCATTGCCTTCAGTGGCCCCAGCACCCCCAACAGTGGTCCTGGTGCCTCCAGCAGTCCCCAGTGCTCCCAGCAAACCCCATGTTCCTAGTATACCATGTTCCCTGTGCCCTCAGTCAACCTAGTGCTCTCCAAGTGAGTCTGATGCTCCCAGTGTTCCCTGTGCCCCCAGCAGACTCCAGTGCATGTCCTCTGGTGTTCAGCCTGAACATCCATCCATCCATCCATCCATCCATCCATCCATCCATCCATCCATCCACATCCATCCATCCATCCATCCATCCATCCAGCTACGTATCCATGTCCTTCCCTGGGAACAGCCAAGTGCTAATCAGACTGTTGGGCTGAGTGATATCCAGGAACTTGAGGAGTGTCCAAAGAAAGCTGGATGGGGTGGACAAGGGTCAAAGGATGGTCAGCAGTGACCAGGTCATGGTGACAGTTGAGGAAATACCGGTGTCAGGAGACAGCCAGGTCATGGGGAGGGCTGGGGGAATCTGAACCAGGCCCATGGCTGCCCCTCCTGCAGCATGAGCAGGAGGTGGCTGGGCCAGAGCCAGACCCTTGTCCCAAGTTCCTGTAGGTGTGGAACAGCCTGCAGAAGATGAAGCTGGCAGAGGCAGGTGCCCAGCAGACATGAGTCAAAGCCAACCCAGCAGAGCTCCCTGAGCCCTGCAACACACAGTAGGCTGCCCCCATCCCCAGCACATCCTGGCACTGGGAACAGCACCTGGCACTGCCATTCTGAGTGAGCTTGTGCTAGGGGGTGAGTACTGGAGCCTTGGTGTCTCTGTGCCACTGACAGCCAGGGTTCCAGGGCTGGAAGAAGCTGGTAATACCAGGGCAGTGCCAGGGGTGATACAGGGGATGCAGGCAACACTCTCTCCTGGCCTGCACCTGCCCTGGCTCCATGAACCAGAAAACAATCAAATAAAGTATTTTATCTGTTTTTCTTGATGGAAATGGGACAGAGACAGGGATGGGGTGGCATTGCCTTGGGCTGACGCTGCATGGTGGGAATGGAGGGTGGTCATGGTGGCCCTGGCTCATTTTGCCAGTGGTGTCACCAGCCCAGCTGCAGATGGTGTCCATCCAAGGCCTTCAGCCATCCCTTGTTGGCACAGAGCCTTCCTCACTCGTTCAGTCTCTCCCTCCTTTCTCCTCTGTCTTCTCCTGGTGTTTTTTTCCATTTCCACAGTTAAACATGTTTCACCCCTGCCCTTTCCATCTGCAGTTGGAGTCTGCTGGGAGGGAGGAAGAGACACTGGTTTGAACAGGTCTCACACCATCAGTCCCAGGCTGACAGCACCACCCTGGGCACCAAGGCAGGGAACAGGCCATTGTTTTGGGGAATCTGCACTTCCCTCCCACAGACTGCTCCCTGCCTGCTCCCTGCACCCCCTGCCTACATCCCCCTGCCTGCACTCGGCTTGTTCCCTGCCTTCTCACCACATCCTGTCTAGCCCCATTCAATGGGGATTGAGACTCTTCCCCCCGCTGCCAGGTGCAGCAATGCAGGATGTGCCCAACTCACTCCAATCCAGCTCAGAGGGGCCACAGTGGCTATGGCATCATCGTCTCATGGCCTGGGAGAGCATTGGCACCATCCTGGCACAATGTTGGCACCATCCTGACTTTTTCCTGGCACCATCCTGGCACTGTCCTGCTGTGCATGGACAGGGCAAGGATGGGGACAGTGGTCCTTGTGCTTGGCCCACACCTACACGGCATTAGGGATGGAGCCTCCAGCAAGCACCATGCTGGGCTGTGTTGGGCTGTGGTGCCACACCACACCAAACTGCACCACCCGCTGCTGTGATGTGCCAAGCCACGCTGCGACACATCTATACCATAACACGCCATTCCATGCCAAATCACACAGTGCGATCCCGCATCACACACTGCCGTGCCGTGCCACACCACGCTGTACCAGGCTGAACCACACCAGACCATGCCATACCAGTCAACACAAACCATACCACGGTAAAACATCCCATACCCTGCCATATCATGCCATGCCACAGTGAGCTACACCACTCTGTGCATCCTCATGTCACCCAGGCCATGCCATGCAGTGCCGTGCCATGCTGTGCCATGCCATACTGTGCCATGCAGTGCTATTCCATCCCATCCTATGCCGTACCACACGGTTCCGTGCCGCACAGTGTCATTCCAGTCCCTGCAGTGCCGTGCAGTGCAGCCGCTGGAGAGCCGTCCGGCGGGCGGGGACTGGGGCAGGTGTTGCTCACCCTGCTCCTCCCTCCGCTCAAGCCCAGACCCGTCCGTGCCCCGGCGCAGCAGAGCCGGCGGCGGCGGCGGGCTCAGGTAAGGGATTCTCCCACCCCGCCGGGACCCCCGGGACCTCCGCCCTGCCTCTGGACACCCAGTGCGACGTGGAGCTGGTTGGGGAAACTGAGGCACGGCCAGGCAACGGCGCTGNGAGCCCCTTTTCCTAGGCCGGCGGTCGTACCCACTCCAGGATCCACCGCTAGCTCAGACGGAAAAGAAAGGAAAACAGGGAGAGGTGCCCAGCGAAACCAGCTGGGGAGGGAGCGAGGGCCCCCCCCGCACCCCGGCCACCTTTGACCCCTTCGAGGGTATCACCCTCCCCCCGCTTTGCGCTCTCCACGCCCTTTATTTATGGTAGGACCTACAAGAAGGAAAAGCAAACATAGCCCCGCGTCCCCCGCGCCGCCATCGCGGCACGCCCGGAGCGACACGGGGGGTTTTGGGGGTGCAGGGTCGGGGCGCCCATGGGTGCAGCCTGGCTGGGGGCGTGGGGTCGAGCTGTGTCCCCGCTGTTAACCGCAGGGTCCCGGCGCGGCATGGGGGAGGCAAGTGACATGGACAGCAGGATCATGCTGCACTCGGGTGAGAAGGGGGTTTGGGGGTGAGGGAGGTTTTGGGGTGCTCCTGTCGCCCATGGATGGTCTGATAGACGTGCCCCTCCTTCCCAGGCAGAGAACAGAGCACTTTGGTGCAGGGGGACATGCTGGGGACACACGAGCTGCCTGGAGAAAGCTTTGGGGAAATGAGGGGGTGGAGGAATGGAGGCTTCCCCTGCGTTTGGGGAGGCACCCCAAGTGTAGTGGGGGGGGTGCTCTGGACAGGATTTGACTCAGACAGGTTTGGCTTGGGATGGCTGAGTCAGACTGAAACCTTCCTCCTGTGCTCCCCCCAGGAGGGACGTCACTCGTATCTCGGGGGGGACTGAAGTACCCAAGGTGCTGCTGGGGGAATTTCATGCGTACCCTGTGTGCCTGGAGAACCCATGGGTGCTGCTGGGGGAGGGCTTCCTGAATACCCTGGGGGGGGGTTGGAACACCAGTGGGTGCTGCTGGGTGGGTGAAACAGGTGTCCCAGGGGACTCAGTACACCCATGGGTGCTGCTAGGAGGGTCATGGCTGCGTTTTCCACCCGCTGTGGTGGAGGGAAAGTAAGGCAGGGAGGCTGTGGGGTGGCCGCGGGATGGCACTGGGTGTTCCCATCCCTCCAGATGTCCATGTGTCTGTTCCAGGCCCTGACAGCCTGATGTCCCTCCCGAAGGAGCGGGTGCAGGCAGGGCGGCGGCAGCAGCAGGTGTTGGAGGCCCAGCTCGATGGCTGCATCCAGGAGCTGCGGCAGCTGTGCCTGCGTGAGGCGGTGAGCAGGACACAAGGACCCCCTGCCCGCCCTCACATGCTGCCATGGCTCTGCTCAGTGTCCCTGTGTCATCCTCAGGAGCTGACGGGGACCCTGCCCTGTGAGTACCCCCTGAAAGCTGGTGAGAAGCCCCCCAAGGTCCGTCGCAGGGTCGGGGCTGCCTTCAAGCTGGATGAGATCGTCGTTCTTTGTGGGGTGGTGAGGCAGTCCCCGGGGTACAAAGGTGGTGGGGACCCCTCCCCTCCTCTTTTCCCTTCCCCTCACCTCCGAAAGCTTCCTGAGGGTCACCTGGAAATGGTGCCATCCCCATCCCATGGGTGGTGGTTGGGTACCAAGTGTAGGGGGGAATTTGCAAGCATGGTGTATGGTGTTGGGGTACTGAGATGCCCCAGTGAAGGGAGGTGTTTGAGTTCTGAATGCAATGTTTGGTGTTGGGGTGCCCAGGAAGTGGGACAAGGTAGGGTTCCAAGCATGATGGGTGGTGTTGGGGTATTAATGGGGTTATCATGAGGTCCTAAGCATAATGTGTGGAGTTGGGGTGCCAAGGTGATGGGTGTGGTGGGGTCCCAGGTGTATCAGGATGCCAGAATTATGGGAGGAGGTGGGTTCCAAATGTTAAGGGTAGTGGTGGGGTCCTGAGCATAATGGATGATGTTGGGTTCCAAGAGTGGTGCTGGGTGTTGGAGTCCCAGATGACATGCTGGGCAGGGTTGGGATCCCAAGTGCTGTGGGTGGTGTTGGGGTGTTAAGCATGATGAGGGGCTTGGGGGTGTCGAGGTGTATTTCTGAGCATGTCCCGCGCCCCCAGGACCCTCTGGAACGGGAGCGGGCACTGCAGCTGCAGATTGCCGAAGCCTCCCGCCGGCTCTGCCATGAGGAGAACATCGGCCGGCAGGTGCGGAAGAGGCGGCAGACAGCAGCACTCCGGGAGGAGCAGAAGCTGCGGGACCTGGAGCTGGTCCTGAGCCAGCGGCGGCTCCTGGCAGGGCAGCAGGACACCAGTGCTGCCAAGGGTGAGCCCCCTAAGCCCCCCAGATGGTGGGGTAACACTGGAGAACAGGGAGGCAGAATAGGGTGCTGCTTGGTTGGGTGTCCCTGGGGATTTCACCCCAATTCCCCATTCTCTGTGAATGCACCCCACAGGATGCAGCCCAGTCCTCCATCCCAAGTGCATGCACCCCTCTGGATGCACCCCAATATGCCATCCACAATGCTTTCACCCCAGTTCCCATCCCTGGTGAATGCAGCTCCCTGAATGCACCTCAACTTTCAGTCCCCTGTGAATACAACCCAGTTCTACACCCCCAATGAGTGTGCCCCCCCAAAATGCCCCCCAGCATACCATCCCTGGTGAATGCACCCCAATTCCCTATCCCTGCTGAATATGCCCCTGGAAGGCCATCCCTGATAAATGCACCTCAATACACTCTCACTGTCAATGCACCCTGTTGAAGGTACCCCAGTACTTCATCTCTAGTGGTGGTATCCTTGTGAATGCACCCCAAAACTTTGTCCCAGTGCATGCATCCCAACACACCATTCTTTGTGTATGTCCCCCCCTTGAACACCTCAAAATTTCATCCCCAGTGCATGTACCTCAATAAACCATTCCTGGCATATGTACCCCCTGAATGTACCTCAAAACTCCATCCATAGTGCATGCACCCTGATAAACCATCCCCAGTGGCACCCCACTGAATCCACCACAGGGCTTCACCTCTATTGATTGCACCCCAATGCTTCACCCTTGCCACTTGCACCCCATAACTATCCCAAATCACCCATCCTCAGCGCCTGCACCCAAAGAGGGGCAGGATGTGGCCCAGCTGCCATGTCCCCATCCCAGTGGTGGCCATCCAAAGGGGTCCCCATTCTCTCCATCCCTGTTCCCTCCAAGGACCAGGGCCGTGGTGGCGGCATCTCCTTCCCTGTTGGTGCCTCCAACCTGCCCATCCCGGGCAGGCTGGGAACTGCACGTGGCTCGGTAGAGCCGGCCCGGCCGGTACCGCTGCCATCCCAGAGCGTGTTGGGGCAGGTGGCGTGGGAGAGGGGAGCAGAGGCCCGCGGGGACGTGCTGGGTGGTGGCGGGGCCGTGGGAGCGCTTTGGCACCCGGAAGCGGCCGCGGCTCTGTTCTCACAGGGCCCTGCCCCACAGAGCTCAGTGCCTCTGACGAGAGCACCGTGTCTGACACCGGCCTGCTGGAGGAGGGTGAGGGGCCTGTGGGGACTAGGGGGGACCCCTGGTATGTTCCCTCCATTTCAACCCTTCCTGTGTCTCCTCTATCCCTCCTCTTCCTGTGCATCCCATCCCCCCACATCTCCCCTCCATGCCAAACATCCAGCTGTTCCCTCAATCCCAACCCTCTCTTTGTGTCCCCTCCATCCCAACCCTCCATCTCTCCTGCAGAGGACAGAGAGCCATCAGAACCTGCTGCCCCACAGAGGTCCCCATCTCCCAAGGACCCCACAGAGGAGGAAGAGAAGGAGCTGGGGCTTCTGATGCCCCCCCTCAATCCCTGGCAGGAGGCCAGCCTGGACAGACCCTACGAGAGGGCCAAAAATCCCAGTATCAACCCTGAGGATGGGGAAACCCAGCGCTCCCAATGTCGTCTTGGGTCCCAGATGGCTGCCCCTGCCAGCTCCTTGGCCCCCAGCAGCCCTGATTCCGCAGGATCCTCAGTGTCCAGGACAGGAGGCCCTCCCTACCAGTTTGTCCCCATCCGGACCCTGGTGCTGTGCCAGCAGGCGGGCTCCAGTGCTCCCAGCACCCCAGAGCCATTGGGACGGCAGGGACAGACCCAGTCTCTGAGGTATGTCCTGAGCATGGGGAGGATAGACAAGGGCTTCTGCAAGGGAGGATGGAGATAATTCCGTGTGGATGATGGAGCTCCATACATGGGAAGGAGGATGGGAATAACCCTGTTAAGATGATGGAGCTCAGCTCATATGGAGGATGTTAGAAATAATCCCATAGGAAGTATGGGGATAGTCCCACTGTCAGTAAGATGGAGCTAAACCCATGGGGAGGAGGATGGAGATAATCCCATGGAGAAGATAATAGAGAGAACACCAAGGAAAGCGTGGACCTAACTCTATGCAGAGGATGGAGAAAATCTTATGGGGAGGACAGACATAATCCCATGGGGAGGAGATGGAACTAACCCATGGAGATGATGGAACTCAGTCACTGGGAGGATGGAGATAATCCTGTGGGGATGTAGGGGAAAACTCTGTGGGGAGGATGAATAGAAATGATTGGGAAGAGGTTGGAGATAATCCCATGGAGAGGATGGAAGTAACCCTATGAAAATGATGGAGGTCAGCCCCATGGCGAGGATGAACTAATCCCATGGGAAGAGGCTGGAGACTGCCCCACAGGGAAGCTGGAGCTAATCCCATGGGAGGAGGCTAGATGTCTCCCCATGGGGTGGTTGTGCCCCACACCTATGGGTACACCTTTCCCAGGGCTTGCCCTGGCTTTGGGGTGAGGGGAAGGGTCCTCCTGCAGCCACAGTGTCTTGCCTGCAGGGTGGACCCGTGCTGCCAGCCAGCTGAGCCGCGGGGCCGCAGTGCTGCATCCCGCCGGCGCCCCACGTACTACACGGTCACTGTGCCCACCTCCTGCGTCCTGACCCCCAGCCCCGTGTGCCGCTCTGGCTCTGATGACAGCATCTCTGACCTCTCCAGCATCTCCCGTGCCACCTCCCCGGGCAGCAGCAGCCCTGACGTGTCCTTTGCAGTTCCGCTGCCCCTTGCCAAGTCTGGTTATTACCCACGGGGTGCCCTCCAGCTCCTGCCGCCTGCTGGCCCCCTGACTTTCCTGTATGAGCAGGATCTGGCCCCGCTGCGGTACCAGCGTCTGGTGCCCTCACGTAGCCGCATTGTGCGCACGCCCTCGCTCAAAGACTACGTGCCCACGGGAGCCCGGGGGCTCTCCAAGGCTGCTGTCACTGAGGAACTGAAGTCATGGCACCAACGCGCTCAGCTGAGGGGCTCCCGGCCCCACTCCCTCGACCGGCAAGGGACTTTCCAGAGAGCCCATGGTGGGACCACCAGGGACATGCCCATTGCTCATGGAGTCCTGTCACTGGTTCAGGTAGGACACAGGGTCTGGCTGGGAGTGGTCATGTGGGAGAAGGGGGACCCCCTGAGTGCTGTCCTGCAGGTGACATGAGTTGTCACCCTGAAGTAGCCTAGGGACGTGTGGCTCTGGTGGGATCCCATGAGGATTTCTAGAGCAGGAGTGAAGTCCTGAGGGGGTCCATGGGGTCCTATAAGAGTTATTGGGACAGGACTGGGATCCCAGAAGGGACCCTGGGGCAGGACCATGGTCTCAGGAGGGTTCTGAGGAGAGGATCAAGGTCCTTTAAGATTCTCTGGGGAAGGATCAGGACCCTCTGAGGGTCCTCTGAGCAGGTCCAAGGTTCCATAGGTTGAGTCTGGAGGGTCCCTGGTAGTCCCTGGGGCAGGATCAGGGTCCTGAGTGGGTTCCCCATGGGAAGATCGGGATCCTGAGGGAATCACAGGATGAATTCAGGTCCCAGAGGGGTGCCTGGGGCAGGACTGGGTTCCTGAGGAGGTCCAATGGCCAGGACCAGGGTCTTCTGTTCTTGGGAACAGAAATGAGGTCTTTAAGGTCCTTTGGGCCAGGATGAGGACCTGCTGAGGGTCCCATGGACAGGTTTGCAGTCCTACATGGGTCCCAGGGACTGGGGTCCCATGTCAGTCTCTGGGATAAGGCCAGGACTTTAAGGGGGTCTCTGGAGCAGGACTGGGGTTCCATGTAGGTCCCTACTTTCTCTTGAACATCCCGAGGGCAAGAACAGGATCCTGCAGGGGTTCCTGTGGCAGAACTGGGGTCCCACAGGAAAGACCAGAACCTTAAGGGGGTTACTGGGGCAAGACTGGGGTCCCACAAAAGTCCCGTGGGAAGGACCAGGATTTCAAGGGGGTCCCTTGGGCAGGATCCATGTGGGTCCCTCCTGCCACACCCAGGTTCCCACAAGCAGGACTCACGTGAGTCCCTGCTGCAGCACTGGGGTGCCCTTGAGTGGGGAAGGATCCCTGCAGATATTTCAGTGGCCAGCTCTCCCTCTGCACCTGGGAGTCTCACTGGGACAAATGGATCCATAGCACAGCTGGGACATGTGGGGCGAGTGGGGATCTGGCCATGCCCGCACAACTCCCCCAGCCCAACCCGGGTGCTGGGATGTGCCCCCAGCGGTGCTCCCAAACCAGGTAGGGTGCCAACACCCACAGGGTCTTTGTCCCACCAGGGTCCCCCGGTGCAGGTGCTGCGACGCTCAGTACCCAGCATGCCTGTGCAGGTCTATATGCCTGAGAACGGCGAGATTGTCACACAAGTGTGAGTGCCACACCCCCACCCCGGCGCAGGGGCACATCCTGGCTGGCCCAGGGACGGCAGGGACGTCTCATGCTTCCTCACCCCGGCGTGAGGGCACAGGAGGGAGCCACAGTGGGATGGCAGGGGCTGGCCCCCACTTCGTGTTCCCTCAGTGGCACTTCAGTGCTGATAGGGACACTGTGACCCCGAGCGCTTATGGTGACCTTGATGTCACCACGACCCTGAATTTGAGGCTCTGGTCTTTAATAAAGGTGGTTTTTGGGATATGTCGCTCTCAGGATGTGTCAGCTGCATGTCCCATCTGAGGTCTCATATCCAGCACCCACTCATATGTCCAGTTGGCATTGCCAGGATGTGACTCAGAGGATTTGGGGTCTAGCTGTGCTCAGGGCAGTAATGGGGTGATCACAGTGCCAAGAGGGTGTCCCAGATCTAGCTGTGCACCCCTGGTACCCAGTGACCCAAGCTGGGAAAGGGGCAAGGAGTAGAAGGGAAAGATGGAATGGAGGTGAGGGGTGCAGGAGGGTGGGCATGAAGGGTGCAGGGGAGGGGTGCAGGGATGGGTGAAAGGATGGGGTGCAGGGGGAGGGAAATAAGATGTTCAGGGAGAGGATGGGGCTGGAGAAAGGGTGCTGTGAAACAAAGTGGTGGGGTGCAGGAAAGGGATGGGGTACAGGGCAGGCAAATGAGGAGTGCAGAGGTGGGATGAAGTGGGAGAAGGGATG